TTCCGATTATTTTGTACAACCTATTGCAGCACCTCTATAAATGTTTAGAGGATAAACTAAATATATACATTTTCCACATACATCTAACTCGAAACATTTTTCTATAGATATTCATTGAAAACGAAAATACTGAAAAATTTAAATTTAGCACTTTTCCTTCAATACGGTCCATTTTAGAAAAATCGTATAAAAAACAAAAATTATAGAGATCGATATCACAAATAACTTTTATTTAAACAATTTTCCTAAAAATTTGAATTTTATTACATTTTGTCAAATTTCTCGAATACGGATCATTTAAAAAAAAATTGTATAGAACCAAAATTATAGATAATACTATTGTAAGTAATTTTTATCTGGACAATTTTCTTCTCCAAACATAAATACCAGATATATTCCATAAAATATAAAAACGGCCTCCCATAAAGTACCCCCCAAAATCTAATAATTTTACCTCAGGCCGAAATAAAACTTAAGTTTAAAATTTAATGTTTTTTCCTTTATCCGTTTTTGAGTTTTCTTCAAAATTCGAAATTTTCACATTTTCTCAAATATCTCGAATACGGTCCATTTTAATGAAATTATGTATGGGATAAAAATTATAGAGAATTATATTACAAACAATTTTTATCTGAACAATTTTTATAAAAAAAATATTTTTTTTACATTTTGTTAAATTTCTCGAATACGGGCCATTTTAGGAAAATTTTGTATAGAACAAAAATCATAGATAATAATATTATAAGTAACGTTTATTCAAACAATTTTCTTCTCCAAACATAAAAAACAGATACATTCCATAAAATATATTTCATAAAATATAAAAATGACCACCAATAAAGTACCCCCCAAATGTTCCGACTCTGCCCAAAATCTAATCAGTTTACCGCAGGCTGAAATAAAGCTTACGTTTAAAATTTGGTGTTTTTCTTTGCATCGGTTCATGAGTAATGGTAGACACACACACACACGCACGCACGCACGCACGCACGCACGCACGCACGCACGCACGCACGCACGCACGCACGCACGCACGCACGCACGCACGCACGCACGCACGCACGCACGCACGCACGCACGCACGCACGCACGCACGCACGCACGCACGCACGCACGCACGCACGCACGCACGCACGCACGCACGCACGCACGCACGCACGCACGCACGCACGCACGCACGCACGCACGCACGCACGCACGCACGCACGCACGCACGCACGCACGCACGCACGCACGCACGCACGCACGCACGCACGCACGCACGCACGCACGCACGCACGCACGCACGCACGCACGCACGCACGCACGCACGCACGCACGCACGCACGCACGCACGCACGCACGCACGCACGCACGCACGCACGCACGCACGCACGCACGCACGCACGCACGCACGCACGCACGCACGCACGCACGCACGCACCCACGCACCCACACACACACACACACACACACACACACACACACACACACACACACACACACACACACACACACACACACACACACACACACACACACACACACACACACACACACACACACACACACACACACACACACACACACACACACACACACACACACACACACACACACACACACACACACACACACACACACACACACACACACACACACACACACACACACACACACACACACACACACACACACACACACACACACACACACACACACACACACACACACACACACACACACACACACACACACACACACACACACACACACACACACACACACACACACACACACACACACACACACACACACACACACACACACACACACACACACACACACACACACACACACACACACACACACACACACACACACACACACACACACACACACACACACACACACACACACACACACACACACACACACACACACACACACACACACACACACACACACACACACACACACACACACACACACACACACACACACACACACACACACACACACACACACACACACACACACACACACACACACACACACACACACACACACACACACACACACACACACACACACACACACACACACACACACACACACACACACACACACACACACACACACACACACACACACACACACACACACCATTCCAAAAATAGTCAAAATGGATTCAGGGGACCCCAAAACGTAAAAAACCGTCGAAAACTGGAGGTATACAGATAGGTATACAGATAGGAAAGTAAAAAGCATTGAAATCAACCTGAAAGTTTAAATATCCCCTTAAATATTTACTTGGGGGTTTTACTCTTTTCACAACTTGGTTAAAAGAAAATTCGGTCAGTTCTTTTTTATCGAGAAATTGGTAGATATAACCAGGAAAATCTCTCGTCTGTTTCCCTCGTAGAAAATTACCCACAATACCATTCGGATTTTTTTGCATTATTTGGCAATTAAAAAATCGTAGGTTATTGCCTGGCGCTATTTTTTTTTGATTCAGTGGAAAACCCACCAAGAGCCAATCATTTTTCTTAATTTCTTCTTCTGTATTTATTGGGGACACATTTACGAACTTCTTCCCGAATTTGTTGACAGATGATTTTATAGATTTTGGTATTCTTCGGTAACTCAACTGCCACATCACTGAATGATCCATCACTGGACTCCATTTCCGCTTCTTCAGCTGAACTTATTTCAATATCTTCACCCTCTTCTTCACCGCTCTCTGGATTCTCATCATACTGCACACTTTTCCCTGCCTCTACAGCAATTTTTTTCCCAGATTTTTTTTCCTTGGTCCATCGCCGTATCTCATTTCTTTGCAAAATCCATTTTTTATGTTTTGCGATGCATTCGGTTGAATTTCAGCGATTAGTCTAGATAAAAGCCTTGGGAATACACTTTTTAACCGACTTCAAAAAGGAGGAGGTTATCAATTCGTCGCGATATATTTTTTTTATGTATGTTCAGCGATTATTCTTTAACACGGTGTCCGATTTTAATGATTCTTTTTTTGTTAGAAAGGGGGTATCTCAGGAGTGGTCCCATATAAATTTAGTCAAAATCTAATAATTGGGTACATGAGAAAATCCTCAAACTCTTCATTTTTTATGTATGTTTAGCGATAATGCTTTACCACCTTGTCCGATTTATATGATTCTTTTTTTGTTAGTAAGGGGGTACCTCAGGGGTGGTTTCATATAAATTTGGTTAAGATGTGGTGACGGCATCTGCACGTTTTTGAAGTCGGTTTTTTTTAATTTTTAATTCCTAATACTTGTTGGAAGTGAAGGTTCATTCATGCCAGGGCCTCGTTTCCACTGTCAAAGTATTTTGCGCCAAGCCATTTTTAATGGCCTAAAAAAAGCTATGTTCAAAGGCTGTGTTGAGTGGATCGCGTTGCCTGGCAAAAATACAAAACGAATATCATGCTTCTGGCAAAGTGATACTATTTCAGTGGACAAGTGGGATGAAAGGTTATCCCCGATAAGGACTTTTTGGCCTTCTAATTTCGCGAGACATGGGCAAGCAACTGTTTTGATCCAGTCTGTAAAGGTCCTGTTGGCAAATCAACCACTACCTATTGAGTTAAATCTTGTGTGTTTCGGTGCTCATTCTATCCATGTGGAACAAACATGTTTTGCCTTATAAATCACATAACATGGTAACATTTCTCCAGTTCCGGTAGCTGCAAACATAATCGACACAGCACTTTTGGTTTGATTCATTACCCTTTCTGGACATTTACAACCTCTTTCTGTGATTATCTTCTGCCTACCAGGGTCGTTACTGAGGTTGGTCTCATCGTAATTTATTATATGAGACGCCGGAATATCACGCAGGGTTTCTTCTAAATTATTAAAATATTCGTTTATTATATCAGGGGATATTGCAGCTCTTGCACGTTTTATATTTTGACAAATACGTACAGCAATTTTATCTTTATGTCTCGCCATAAAACCAGTTGCAAAATCCTTACCGGGCAAATTCTCTTTAAATTTGGGCACGATTTTTCCCTGTTTATCCAAATAATGTTTAACTATTAGTCTTAAGCCATACAGATCTAACGGATACCCCCATTCGGCACAAAACTGAATTGTTTCGATGATTAACAATTCTTCTTTTTCACTCAATGTGGTCTGTCCACCTTGTTTCTTAACGTTTCACTTCCTGTATAGGGTATTTTAAAACGCTCAGCAGCTCTCCTTATTGTCATTCCGCGGACGACAGCCTCCTTAGACCTTGCGATAACTTCCGGATTATGCTTGCGGTATCTTTTTCCGTGTGGGTCGGTCGGGCTTATAAACACGAGGCATGTCAAACAGCTGTGATCCTATTCACCCCGCGATCTCGAGCAACAGGTGTTTTTTGTTTTGGATCACCTACAAAATAAAAACCTGTTGCTAATTATGGATTTTTCGTACGGATTTCACATAAGTAATAAAAAAGGTTACTAAAAATAATAACACTCACCTTTTTTAAGTTCTGTTTTTAACTAGATCTTTCAACTTTCTGGGACAATATTTTCGCGGCTTAATTTCACATTTGAGGTTATGGTAGACAGCATGCCATGTTGCCAAGCTTTCGTACGTTTTATGTCACAGAAACTACATCTAACAATAACTAATTGAAATTTGTGCATTGGAGAGACCTATTTCGAATTTGAATTATTGCAAATTTTTGAAAATTAAGAGTAACTTTCAATCCTATTCGCCCTGTTGATCCTAATCACCCCATTTTACGGTATTTACTTAACATTTTCGTTATGCTTATTCGACGATAAGTGCCCACCTGTCATAAACTTGTACGTTGGCTCTAGGACGATAAATAGCATAATATGAAAATCTTATTCTTTTGCTACATTGTTAATTAACAATGACAGTTGAAATATTCAAGGCCACAAAATTATCACTTCAAATTTCTCTAATCTTCTGCCAGATGTGGTATCTGGGGTAATCTGTAACACAGTAATACACACACAGCAATTTCAAATTATTTTTTAGGATAGAAAAAATGGTTAACCCTGCCAAAGCCCATTTTCATAGGGTTAGACGTATTTTTCAGTATAGTACGAATTCTGAAATTTTGCATCCAAATAAAAATTCAGGAATAACAATTAAATTTAATCCAACCGAAGAGATAGAATTTCAGGCAGTACCTGTATTTCTATGTCAAATTCTGGACCCAAATAAACCACAAAATGTTGTAAAAAAATTTCAAATTAAATATTCTGCTACAGTAATATTATCTAAGTAAGTAAATTGGTAAAGGTGCGCAAACACAAAAAATAATCTCAAATTAAATTTTACCAAAAATCAAATCTTTCAAATATATCAGGAGGCAAGATCTAAAAATGAGCATCCGTGAACCATTGTCTTTTTATTCGATTTGGCTTTTGAAAATAATTAAGGCGTATCTCCTGCGTGTAAATCTTGAGTTCGATATTCTCTAAAGTTTATCTACTGACGTTTTTTTTATGACCACGAGAAATATAAAAAGAGACATTGTTGAAAATAATTTTTTTTTTAATTTGAAATTTGTATGCCACCTTTCTGTAGAACCTCAGTATTGCATTCGTGCCGGAAAAAAATCTTCGTACCCCCATTAAATTAAATTAGAATATAAATATTCATATCAACATTTCATATTAAAGTTATTTTAATACGATTTAAATCAAATTATATTCTATTTTATTTCTACATGGGCAATTTATATTTTCTGTCGAGCTTTCCGCACTTACGTCATTTCGCGAACTCGACGAGAGTATCATACCTCTATATGTTTTTGAATGTATAATTTATTTTTAAGATTTTCTATATGCCCAGTTAGCGATGTCCATTTTGGTTCCCTAGAAGTATGGAATAAGAGAACTCAAATGTTACAATTAAAAAATATCGGAAAATCTGCTTTCAGCTATAATATGTGTTATGTAAATCCAAATGGTAAGTAAATAAGATTAATTGTTAATTTTCTTCTTCTTTAAATACCCTTAATATTCCAAAGGAAGGAAAATTATTTATTTTCTTGAAATATGAATAAAATAGTAATTTATAGTTAATTAAAGTCACATGTTTAATGTTTTAAAGAGGGTAGTTTTAAAAAACAACAACATAATTGCTGCCGTATTCACAAAAGTATATTTAAATGAACGACGAAAACTACTAGACTAATTTTATTTATACGTAGTTGACAAATGATTATGAGAGTATGGGAGTCTTGTTACAAGGATTTTTATGGTTATATTGTATTATTTACTAAACATAAGGCTCTAAAGAGCCCAAAAGCCCTTTCAAATTATCGTTTTAATATGTATTTTTCTCGTTGCAACTATTAGAGTTGGATAGTGTTTTTTGAAAAAGTGTGACAGCACTGTAAAGCAAGCGTGGTAAACGTAAATACTGATTCGTTTATAAAACGCATGCTCGCTCCTCAGATAAACATACTCGCGCAAACCATCCCCACTTAAATTAGTAGCTGTCTCCATCTTTTTATTGCGGCACCCGATGTTATAGTTCTGTCTGCGTAATAATAAACACAATTCGAATGATTGCAATACATAAGAGCTTAATTATGAATGAATGGATTAGTCTAGTAGTGTTTTGTCGTTGATTTAAATAGTGATTTGCAAAAAAAAATTCTAAAGTAAGCCATAACCGATAAAGACAGAAATACGAGTTAAGTCGTCTCTTTGAAATAAATTCAAACTGACGACACTTAAAAAGAAGAATTGTACACTCGACTTTTTCGAATGCCTAATTTAAAAATATTTTTTTTATGGATCTCTCCTTATTTACTTGCAAATTCAAAGAAAATAAAGTTGACCATTTTCCTGATTTTTAAAATACACTGTGAACCATTACTGTGACTATTAAAATTCAAATAAATAAAGTGTTGTTTCCTCAATTTTCACAAATTAAAAATTCGTTACTATTATTCGAAAAAAACATGGTCCACAGTACGTCCACCCCTGCATTGCTTGATTACCACATATTTAAAACTTCATGGGTGTCTTCATTTTTACTAGCCTAGCACACTTTATCTGCAAAAATTCACGAGTTTTCCACTGGTCGATTTTACGATGTTATGTAATATAATGACCACACATTTCTTTTGCAGTGAAATTGAAAGATAATTTAATAATAAATACGAAACAAAGCTTGACCAACAACATTAATCCGGTGATCGATGAGTCCACCGCCTACAACATGACAAAATAACGAGGTTACGTTTTCTAATGACCACATAATTAATTTTCGCGGGTCACTAAATTTAATGCTTCGTTTTTTTCAGTCAGACAAACTGAATATTATGTCATTTTTACGATGAGTGATGCTCACTACCACATGTCGCACAAAGATCACTCATGATAGATAAGTGTATTTAAAGATAGAATAATGTTCGACAAAAATATTGCGCCGCATTAACAGTCCGACAAAACAAAAACAAGAATAATAGCTCTGTCGGCTCTGCCACCTAAAAAAGTAGCGCAGAACAAAATAGCCTAAAGACACAATAGCGTAAAGGCAAAATAGCGTAAAGACAAAATAGCGTGAAGACAAAATAGCGTAAAGACAAAATAGCGTAAAGACAAAATAGCGTAAAGACAAAATAGCGTAAAAACAAAATAGCGCCGTACCATATCACGGTCGGGACAAACAGGCTTCGACACAAAATAGCGCCGGACAATAAAGCACTGTACAATAAATACAATTTGAATACATGAACTAAAACGATAAAGTACTTCATAGTATTATCATAGTGGGGGTGCTCTAATACCATACATTAACTCAGATAGTTGAGTCTAAAAGTAAAATATATATTAAAGAAAATAGAAATATTTTCCTAGTATCTATACCCATTAAACATGAAACATTACCAGTTTTTTTTTTTGTAGAAGAATTAGTGCGGTGAAAAAATATAAAAGATAAAAGGATTATTGGGCAAATACCTCAAAAAAAAAAAGAAAAAAATGCCTAAAGGCAAACCGTAGACACGTGTTTCTGACTATTGGTCTTCATCAGTTTCATTTCTCAAACTATCCATATTAATCCGTTGTTAGGTGATCGCTATGGTTACGATAAATAGTTTTGACATTTCAGCAATAGTATCGCCATTTTTTTTTAATAATTATATTTTTAAAGAATAAAATTCTTTCGTCAGATAGTAAAAATAAATTTCAAGGAACTCCTCCTGATATTCTTGAAATAGCTGCTAATACTACTAACAAGTTACTGCCCTCAAAATCAAAATAGTATACCAAAAGTTCATGGACTGACGTTTAAAAAACAACGTAAACTCATTTTCTTAGAATGTGCTTTAAAAATTCATCATTATGGGCAATGAATCATCAATTCCATAAAAAATAAACTGAATATTGAAACGTACCCAACATAAAAGCAAACCTCAAAAAGCAATCAGATGGTTTTAAAAGTAGAAATTTTTTGATGAAATAAGTAAATAATATAAATATTTTAAACGGAGATTAAAATGACACTGTTAATGTAAAAATGTCATTTTAAACTTAGTTTAACACAATGGTGGAATCGGTCCTAAAACAATTTTTCTTCAGTTAAGTTAGTATTTGCAAATTACAATATTTTTAATTAAATGTATTTAATAAATGTTATTGATTATGAAAGCATTCTCGTTATTATAGCCACTCAACATCAATCTACTCCCAAATAACACAAGATGCCATAAAGAAGCTTGCAAGTGGATTTCGGTGCTAATAGCAAAGCTAATAAGCATTTAAATCTGGACACCAAAGCTTCTAGAAGCAGTCATCATTACGTAACCGAGCGCTTTATTTGGCACGCAATATTTTGTGGCTTATTAGATTTTATGATAATAAGCCACGGTGACCAGAATTGGCACATTTTGCGTTTTTGGTGCTTAAAAGAATTAGCATTATATCCGCCTTTATGTATAATATTAGCATTTAATGCGATAATGAGAAGCAGCCGTTTGGTCAAGATTTAGCTTTCACTGCTTAGGTCGCGAATGCACAAATGAAACTTAAAAATATGCCTGTTAAAATCCAATTAGAATTATAATGGTCATATATTGGCAGTTTTGTTTTTCGTTGATTAAAACAAGTGTCCTTTAACTTATTAGGAATAGTGATGGTAGGCCATTTTTAATAAATGATAAATATCTCATGATTAAAAACAGCAGTTTTAATCACCAGAAATTTTTGCGAATCTTACTTTTTTGTTAAATATTCTTGAATTACCTCTTATATATAAACGAGCCAATACATATTTATAAGTGAGATTGTTATATTATCAAATGCGGTATTATCAGAATTAATTTATAATTTTTTCTATAATTATAGCAGCTGATTAAACATAATATTTTGGGTTACCTTTTTAACAAACATATTAATTCACATGGTGGATACCAAACTAAGTATATTAAAGCAAGAAAAGCAACTCTAGGTTAGTTGAGGAATATAGATCAAATCTAGTAATTTACTTAATATTTAACAAGTTTTGGTTATTCTGAATTCAAAATTGTTCCGTCGCTCCTCAGTAATTAAAATTCTCACAAATCTGTCCAATAAACTTATTCTAAAGTGAATCGGACTCAACAAAAAAATATTTTTTTCTTTACGAATCTTTGTAGGTATTTATCTATTTTTACATCTCTGTATGTCAGATATCCCATTAGTACGTAATTGTTGGAAATAGAACCTGATGTAGGATCTGGTGAAGCGAGACGTCACTTTCGGCAGGGGGCGCTGCTTCAAGTGAACATGGACTCTATCTCACCAAAATATATCTTTCATAAGCCATATAAAGTTATAATAGAATAAATGGAAGAGCCAGAAGTGGCAGCTACGATTCATATCTACACCAACGGTTCTAAAACAAAACAAGGCTCAGGATGTGGAATATACTCCAGATTCTTAAACCTAAACATAAAATGGGCTGTGAGCAATAGTGCCAGTGTAGTTCAAACAGAGCTAACGGGGATTCTCATAGCAGCAAAAGAAATAACCAGAAACAATATCACTGGAAGGAACATGCTCATCTATACAGATAGCAGACAAGCACTACTCACCCTGAACAGACCACGAATTTATTCAGGGTTAGTACTAGAATGTCACGAAGCCTTGGCCGAAGTATCCGTCAACAACGTGGTCACCTTAAGATGGATTAAAGGTCACGCCACATCGAAAGGTAACCGTCTTGCTGATTCACTAGCCAAGAAAGTAGCCAACCAAATACTTTTTAGACCTGGCCCTTCTATTGGCCTGACAAAATCGGTAGTGACAGACCTAATTAAAGAATATTCCCCTGTGATATTCAAGGAAAGATGCGATGAAACAAGAAACTGCAGAGTTGCCAGGGAGCTCTTAAGTTATCCTGACAACACTGCAGCAAAGAAATACTTGACTATGACTAGACAGAATCTGCGCCTAGTCACAGGCATTCTGACTGGTCATTGCCAAGTACGAAAGCATCTCCATATCATGGGGCTGTCAGAATCCGTACTCTGCAGAGGGTGCGAACAAGAACATGAGACCATCGAGCATATCCTTTACGATTGCTCGACGCTCTCATTTATTAGATTTGTGTTCGGCGAGTATCGGCTAACACTGGCTGATATAAGAGAAGCACCTCTTGGCGACTTTGTCAACTACATTAAATCTGTAGGCTGGCTCACGAGCTAGGAGGTGCCTATCTTCACAGGAGAATGCACAATGGGCCTAATGAGACCTAAATGCCATGGGGTAACCCACCCTATACACATTACAGATACAGATTGTTGGAAATATACTTATTAATTACGAAAGGTGTATAGTTAAACCAGAAATCTAGTGACTACCATAAAACAACAGGTAATTTACTTATCAGTAGGCGGTCGGTCTATACGCAGAGACGTACCTACTCTAAGGAATCCTTAATATTTTTTGCCGATAACGACAACGCATTAAGTC